CCGAGCCTCCTGCTGGATTTAACTAAGGTCCGAGCCTCCTGCTGGATCATCACTGCACGGACGATTATGTTTCAGCTGCAACAAGTTCTTTAACTCCAATGAGTTGCTTCTCGTTTCTTCAACAACATGATGAAAGACTCATGGTGGTCGTGGAGAAGATGTCGGTCTGTTGGAGAAGGGTCAAATCATTGGCATCAAGCAGAGGAAACATCTCAGGAGATTGTAGAAACTAAAACTGGGTTAAGAATTGTCCAACACATTATTAAAACTGGAAGGACAGTGGGGACCCATCGTCTTCCAGGAAGAAATGTGGTCAGAAATAAATCCTGAATGATCGTGATCGATGCTCATTTAAACATTTGGTGAAATCAAATGGAAGAAGAACACCAGCAGCACTCAGGGCTGTGGTTCATAGAGACAGTAAGAACATTTAAACACTCACAATGTGAAGGAACTCAAGAACAGCTGGGTAGTGTTAAGAAAACCAGTGAGGCTAACTGGAGGGAGCATAAAGATCGGACTGTGGAGCAATGGAAGAAGGTCATGTGGTCTGATAGTCCAGACTGACCCTGTTCCAGAGTGATGGTGCATCAGGGTCAGAAGAGAGGCAGGAGAAGTGATGCACCATCAGGACCAGTGTCTCGTCATCAGTGAAAGATCTTGGTGAAACATTAATTCAGCACTGGATGAAACAGATCTTGTGACGTTGAAGAAGTTTATTCAAACAATGACACAGAGAATGATGTGATCAAAGTTAAAGGTGCTCCAACCAAATATTAGTGTGTGACTTTTTTTTTTTGGCCAGGCTGTGTAAATGTAAACATTTGTCCCTGACATGCTCCGCCCCCTTTGTCTGTCCTTGCAGGGCATCCCATTAGACACCAGTAAACTGCCTCTGGACCAGCGGATCCCCCTGTACCACCTCTGCCAGTCCCAACAGCACCAGCCAGGTCTGCCCAGCTCTCAGCCCGGTCAGAAACCCCCTCCTCTGGGTCAGCACCACCAGCCCCGCCTCCAGCAGCCGCGACCCAATATGCACCAACAGCAGCTCCACTTGGAGAACCTACGGAACCAGAACCAGCAGCAGCACTTTGGACTGGTACATCATCACTTGATCCATTGATTTATCACAGACAGGATTTCTAAAAGTCTAATGGTGTCAATCAATGGAACAAATAACAGTTACTATCCTGTTTATTTGTCGTGGTTCTCTGCAGCCTCAAAGGCCGATGGGACCGCAGGGGAACTCGCTGCAGGTGAACACACCTGTAAAGTCTGAAGACATGTTGGAGCCGTGTGTCCAGACTTCGTTTTTGTGCCAAGTTAAACAGGAAGTGGATCAGCAGCGAGCCGGCGGCCCCCTTCACCAGCAGCAGATCAACCTGACAACAGACTTTTACAACGTGAGTAAACATGACCAACTCATGTTCATACGTGTTCCCATCCAACCTTAATGTGACCAACACATGTTCATATGTGTTCCCATCCAACCTTAATGTGACAGACACATGTTCATACGTGTTCCCATCCAACCTTAACGTGACCAATTCATGTTCCAAACGTGTTCCCATCCAACCTTAACATGACTGACACATGTCCATATGTGTT